AAGAGAGAGAAAGCGGGGGAGGGGCCGGGAGACTATTTATAGAGCCATTTTTCCTTTCTGCCAGTGTGTCTATGCGTCACAGATGAGAGGAGCGCAATGGACTGTGGCAGGTTTGTATATTCCGTTCTTCAGTTACACCCGAACTAATGTGCCGTTTGACACCCGGTGTTCTGGTGAGAAATAGGCTAAATGTGTGCTGTCAAAGGTACAGCGGCATCACCTTTAGTGCATCTGCTGCCATCTATCTATCTATAGCATCAATCCATCTAACAAATTCAATAAAAATCCATCAAACCATAAAATCTCCCTAACAGCTGATTTGTCATAACATTTAATGCCGCGATTTACTTTCAGTAGTATTTAAATTTATAATAGTATTTTATCCATGGTATTATACTATAGTATACTTTTTATACTACACAAACAAATAATGCCGTTTCTTCTCATTTAGGCCTCATTCATTGCGTTTAAAGCCATAGAGAAACATGCAGGTTGACTGCTGGGTGCAGTGAGCAGAAACAAACCCCCGGCGGGCCATTTCATCTCACACATCCACGCTGTTGGATTTGATTGGAGAGTGTCATGTGACAGAGGCTGAAGCATTTCTGCAGCGGAACTGCAGCTGTGTGTGCATGGAAACATTTCAGCGCTAGGACCCAGCAGAGATGCAGACGGCACTTCTGCATGAGTCAGGGCTGTTTTGTAACAGGGGAGAGACCAAGGGCCCTGCTCCCCAATGGCACTCACATACACACGCTCAGCTGAGATCCACGCAGAGTGTATCAATGAACAAGCACTGACATGAGCACACAACAAGCTCACATTTATAACCCAAGGTGTGAACCTTACGACCAAGAAAACACATCAGTAATGTCCCAATAATCACATAAAAGATAATTTATCAAATAGACAACATTAAGAAACATAATGAATATGGTCTAAGAGCAGCAACACTTATGTGTGTGCATGCATGAGCACAGCAGTTAAAACTACAAAAATGTTCGTGGACATTATATAATGATAATACCTTGTTTTTTGGATATGTAACATGATATTCAAGGACTCCATCCATACAAAAGGACTACCAGAATATTGACCACAAGGAGTCAGAACAAGCTATGAAAGCACACTGTGCTGTTCAGCATGTCTATTGTCAGTTAATTATAGCTCAAACTGCGTCAATGCTGCGTCGGGTTCGACCAGGATGGAGAATTGTGTGTCCTTGCTGGACGGACTGACAGATGGTGAAATGGGCACAAGATGACAGTGGAAACTGGCCTTAAGATATATTTTGTTTATATGTTACAGAATGTGAATGTGTATGTGTTATATTTTCCCATGACCACTGGACAGAGATCTTATACATTTCTATACCTAATCTGGTTTGCTGGTCTTAGTTAGTCTTCCAGCTTGGCCAGGCTGGTTTTACAGGAGTTTTAGGCACTTTTTAGACCAGATAAGACCAGCAAACCAGCTTATGCTGGTTTAAGATGTTGCAAAGGATCTAAACAGTATTGGTTTTCAAAAATGAAAAATTACATGTACATGTACTTGTTCCAGTCTGACAGAAATGTCTATCTTCTGTGCAACACAAAAGAAGATCTTTAAGATGATTAAAGAACATCTTTAATCTTCCAAAAATGCAGATGGTGATTTATATTGCTAAGCTCAAAAAATGGGCCATGAAATATCATGAACAAGTAAAATATCATCAGCCAATTTCGTTGTAAGGAAAAGTGTAACTTGGACATTCTGCTTAACATTTCATTTTGTTTAATAGAAAAAGACAATCATACAGGGTTTGATTTTGAAAATTGTTAATTTTTGTGTAAACCAATCCTTTTTTACCATGAAAATGAATCCAGTTTCATTACATTTATTTGCAATACATTTAGGTTTTCAATCCGAAACATTTTCCCCAAAAAAATAAAAAAAAATAAAAAATCAGCAGAAAGTTTCTCTTTCACTCTCTATATATCCGTCTATATATATATATTCAACATTTTTAAATCAATAGTTTTATAAATTTTCCTTTATTTTTATTTCGGTTATATCATTCACAATTCTTCTTGGGATTGCAGTACTTTACATTCATGAATTTAGCAGACTTACAAAAGAAGAACACAAGCAATTTATCAAAGAGCCAACAATAATCATAATATAGTGATCTTTCCCTGATCACAGTACACAGCTTTGTCTTTTTATCTAATTTTTCAAATACTTTTTTACTTAAAACACATTTTGTAGTGTTTTGATTCACATTGTAACTGGTTGGTTTGGTTCATGGCTTGTAACTCTTTAACAAAGACTCTTTTTTTTTTATCTTTGGAAAAAATTAATGAGAAGAACACTTCCGGATATAATTCCGGTGAAAAGTAGATGGGCAGATTGGGCACTAAAGCACTTTATAACAGAAACCACAGATAAAAGCTAATGAGCTGTTCTCGACTTACCCAGCATCCCTTTGTTGGGCTCAGACAAACACATGTCTTTCTCAGCACTGGGTAGTACGAAGCCCACCACGAAGATCTCCACGCCATCAGCCATGAGGGCCAGACCCAGCACAAAGTACAGGGTCCACTGGAAGCGGCCGTGGCCACACTCCTGGAGGATGGTCTCGTACTGCTGGGCTAGCTCCTCCTGGTCCTTCCTCCTTTCCCCCTCGTACTGTGTTATGTCCCGGAACTGAGACTGTCCCACTTCGCCCACCTGTCTATCGGCCTTCTCAACGGAGTCATTCCTGGGGATGCCCTGGTATTCGCCCTCGTAGATCTCATCATCCTCATCGTGGCCTTCTGTGGAGTCACTGTGAGCTCCTTCGTCGTCGTTGGCCCTGCTGTTGCTGCGGTAGTAGCTGCCGTCCTGGGCCTGCACGGGGTAATCGTCATCATCGTCTTCCTCTTCGAAGCGGGTATAAGAGCGTTTGGTGTACTCGTCAGTCATCTTGTCCACATGGCGGCCCACCTTTTTACCTGCTTGCTTTTTGACCTCTTTTGCAATGTCCTTAGCACCTTTAATGAATGCCGTACGGTCTCTGTAACCCTCCTCCATGGTTCAAAGTTGTGCGCTGATGTAAAGAGTGCTGGAACTAGATGTCAGGAGCTGCCTGTTAGCATGTAGTAGAGTGAAGCTGGGCTGGAGAAGTTCAGGACCTTGGACAGCACCTTCTAGAGCTCAGAGCTCTACACAGCAGTCTGAAAATATACAAGAACACATGCTGTTATTCAAGATGAAAGACTGATGTATAAAAGCATTACTTTACAACATTAACACACCAATTTACAAATATATCATACATCACATAATTGTTATTGTTATTAGGTATGGTAAAAAGATGGTCCAATGGTCAATAATGGTAAAATTATTGGGCAAATCGTGCAAATCTGTCATGAGCATGTCCAGATAAGAGATAAGATAAAATATTTTTATTAATTTATAAAAATATAAAAAAAATACTTACAAATGTATAAATAAAAAGTTTAACATTTTAAAGTATTTTTACATAATGCTTGTAATAGTTTATCTGTGCAGCATTTATGCACATGTAAATAAAAATAAATCATGGCATTACAGTAACTATTTTATGTGCTTAATTGTCATGAAAATAATTCCATAATGAAAAAAAAAATCATGAAAATGCAAAAAGTCCCAAAAAATTTGTCTTAATGTAAAAAGTAACTTCAGCAAATAAAATTATTTGTTTTTGTAAGATTTGCTCTTTTAGATTTACTGAATCATACAGGTAGTCTGTATATTCTGAAGGTCAAAACCAGGTCTATCAGCTGCTATTCTAGCTAATCAACCATCATTTTTTTTATATTGACTGGCAAAACACATGATTTGTATGGCTTTCTGCTCTGTGCACAGTTTATCTGTTCATATCAATGCATTTTTCCCACAATATTAAATACATGATATACAAGCTAGGTAAATGGTCTACCAGGTCAAAAACCAGGCATCTGCCAATCAACCATCTAACCAGCTCAAATCAGCTAATGACATGCTTAAACCATCTAGAAATCATGCAAAACAAGCTATTACATTGAGCTTGGCTTCGGCAGCATTTTCAAACAGTGATATTACCTGAATAAATCTGATTATGATTAATCAGCTTTGTGATAACAGCAAGAAAGTAATACACACAGAATTAAAATTCTTGTAAGCTAAGAGAACAATTACAAATGACTACATGGATAACACTGGCAGCATGTAAATAGGTGCAGCAGCCATGAAATATCATGAACAAGTAAAATATCATCAGCCAATTTCGTTGTAAGGAAAAGTGTAACTTGGACATTCTGCTTAACATTTCATTTTGTTTAATAGAAAAAGACAATCATACAGGGTTTGATTTTTGAAAATTGTTAATTTTTGTGTAAACCAATCCTTTTTTACCATGAAAATAAATCCAGTTTCATTACATTTATTTGCAATACATTTAGGTTTTCAATCCGAAACATTTTCCCAAAAAAAAAAAAAATTAATAAAAAATCAGCAGAAAGTTTCTCTTTCACTCTCTATATATCCGTCTATATATATATATTCAACATTTTTAAATCAATAGTTTTATAAATTTTCCTTTATTTTTATTTCGGTTATATCATTCACAATTCTTCTTGGGATTGCAGTACTTTACATTCATGAATTTAGCAGACTTACAAAAGAAGAACACAAGCAATTTATCAAAGAGCCAACAATAATCATAATATAGTGATCTTTCCCTGATCACAGTACACAGCTTTGTCTTTTTATCTAATTTTTCAAATACTTTTTTACTTAAAACACATTTTGTAGTGTTTTGATTCACATTGTAACTGGTTGGTTTGGTTCATGGCTTGTAACTCTTTAACAAAGACTCTTTTTTTTTTATCTTTGGAAAAAATTAATGAGAAGAACACTTCCGGATATAATTCCGGTGAAAAGTAGATGGGCAGATTGGGCACTAAAGCACTTTATAACAGAAACCACAGATAAAAGCTAATGAGCTGTTCTCGACTTACCCAGCATCCCTTTGTTGGGCTCAGACAAACACATGTCTTTCTCAGCACTGGGTAGTACGAAGCCCACCACGAAGATCTCCACGCCATCAGCCATGAGGGCCAGACCCAGCACAAAGTACAGGGTCCACTGGAAGCGGCCGTGGCCACACTCCTGGAGGATGGTCTCGTACTGCTGGGCTAGCTCCTCCTGGTCCTTCCTCCTTTCCCCCTCGTACTGTGTTATGTCCCGGAACTGAGACTGTCCCACTTCGCCCACCTGTCTATCGGCCTTCTCAACGGAGTCATTCCTGGGGATGCCCTGGTATTCGCCCTCGTAGATCTCATCATCCTCATCGTGGCCTTCTGTGGAGTCACTGTGAGCTCCTTCGTCGTCGTTGGCCCTGCTGTTGCTGCGGTAGTAGCTGCCGTCCTGGGCCTGCACGGGGTAATCGTCATCATCGTCTTCCTCTTCGAAGCGGGTATAAGAGCGTTTGGTGTACTCGTCAGTCATCTTGTCCACATGGCGGCCCACCTTTTTACCTGCTTGCTTTTTGACCTCTTTTGCAATGTCCTTAGCACCTTTAATGAATGCCGTACGGTCTCTGTAACCCTCCTCCATGGTTCAAAGTCGTGCGTTGATGTAAAGAGTGCTGGAACTGGGTGTCAGGAGCTGCCTGTTAGCATGTAGTAGAGTGAAGCTGGGCTGGAGAAGTTCAGGACCTTGGACAGCACCTTCTAGAGCTCAGAGCTCTACACAGCAGTCTGAAAATATACAAGAACACATGCTGTTATTCAAGATGAAAGACTGATGTATAAAAGCATTACTTTACAACATTAACACACCAATTTACAAATATATCATACATCACATAATTGTTATTGTTATTAGGTATGGTAAAAAGATGGTCCAATGGTCAATAATGGTAAAATTATTGGGCAAATCGTGCAAATCTGTCATGAGCATGTCCAGATAAGAGATAAGATAAAATATTTTTATTAATTTATAAAAATATAAAAAAAATACTTACAAATGTATAAATAAAAAGTTTAACATTTTAAAGTATTTTTACATAATGCTTGTAATAGTTTATCTGTGCAGCATTTATGCACATGTAAATAAAAATAAATCATGGCATTACAGTAACTATTTTATGTGCTTAATTGTCATGAAAATAATTCCATAATGAAAAAAAAAATCATGAAAATGCAAAAAGTCCCAAAAAATTTGTCTTAATGTAAAAAGTAACTTCAGCAAATAAAATTATTTGTTTTTGTAAGATTTGCTCTTTTAGATTTACTGAATCATACAGGTAGTCTGTATATTCTGAAGGTCAAAACCAGGTCTATCAGCTGCTATTCTAGCTAATCAACCATCATTTTTTTTATATTGACTGGCAAAACACATGATTTGTATGGCTTTCTGCTCTGTGCACAGTTTATCTGTTCATATCAATGCATTTTTCCCACAATATTAAATACATGATATACAAGCTAGGTAAATGGTCTACCAGGTCAAAAACCAGGCATCTGCCAATCAACCATCTAACCAGCTCAAATCAGCTAATGACATGCTTAAACCATCTAGAAATCATGCAAAACAAGCTATTACATTGAGCTTGGCTTCGGCAGCATTTTCAAACAGTGATATTACCTGAATAAATCTGATTATGATTAATCAGCTTTGTGATAACAGCAAGAAAGTAATACACACAGAATTAAAATTCTTGTAAGCTAAGAGAACAATTACAAATGACTACATGGATAACACTGGCAGCATGTAAATAGGTGCAGCAGCTCACGGTGACCTTGTTTCGTCCAGTTTACATTCTGGAGGAAAACATTTAGGAAACCAATTGAGCCTCCTTGAAAAAGGGCAATTACATTGTTCCCGAGGGAAACTCATAAAACAATCAGCCTGTGTTGCCTCGTACAATCTGTTGAAATTGGTCTGGATCCATTTATTGCATTAATAATCTAATATACATAATTGAGCCACATTAATATTATCTCAGGGGTACTTAGGAGCTATACAGCACAGATAAAGATCTGTACAGAAATCTTTCACTGAACAAACCTGAAAAGGATGAGATTTAGGGTTAGGAAACAAGAACCAGAGCGGATGATGGCAACACGTCTTTCTGCCAAGTTGTCCTCACTATACAGCACAACCAGTGTAATATGATTTTTGAACAAATAACACTTATCAGCTGGTTCTTTTTAACTAATCAGAATGAGTGAGTCAAATTTTTTTTAAATCATTCTTGTATTTTTAATTTTTGACTCACTGAATCATTCAGAGAGGATCCTGATGTACTCAGTAAATCAGAAGTCATAACTTTTTATCATGTCCAAATAAATAATATAATAATATTAATATATAATATAATATACACATCATTATATTAGGAAAATCATAAAAAATCTGTCACAATCATATCCGTGTATATACAGTATATATACATATATATACATATACATATATACACACACATATATATACCAGGATATATATATATATATACACACATAGATATACATATATACAGAGTTAAATAACGATTCCCATTCCTAATGACGCCACTCTTCTTTTTTGTAAACTATATGTAAACAAGTCACATTCTTGTTCACATTCTCATCTAATTTGCCTGTTCTTTTCTCTCTCTCTTGTTGTGTATTCCTCTCTGAATAGAGCTCATCAGTCGGACGGCCACCTCTCAGCGTCCACATCACCCCGTGTCTGTGAAGATAATGAGCCAGCAAGACATTCGGCCTTCTCAGTGACAGCCAAAGAAAGGCAATCTGGGATATCTGTCAGCACTGCTCTACTCAACACCTCGGCCCAAGTCCTATTACGTTATCAGGGCACTGAAAAGTGAATACACAGAAACAGACCAGTCATGTGGACTGCAGAGCTGTAAATGCCAATAAAAATAATTGACGTGCTTCTCTTCTTACTCAGAGTAAACACTGCATAATAGAGGAGATGGCTGTAAAGCTATAAATGTCTGTAAAGGTGAATCTGGGGCGCTATGAGCTCATCAGCAGAAGCGGTTGGTCCAAGGGAGAAATGGCCCAGTTGGCGGCAGCAGGCATAGATCTGCCTTATGCTGTCCTCTGTAGTCGTTTCATTCTCACTCATACAATCCCTGCATGCTCTCTCCGCATGTGCACCTCTCTGCCAGTAGAGACCTGCGCTGCCATTGTGAAAATCATTTTTAATATTGATTGATTTCAGGGCTGATTAGACAGTGTTTGTTATAGAAAAATCCATGCAAGTGGGTTCTGATGAGTATTTAATCGATACAGCGCTGACACATGATGAAAAGCATCAGCATTGCACACTCAGAGAACTCAGGGAAGATTTCATTCAAAATACACAAATATTCAAAATACATAAATACATTTCTTTCACTTACTCATCCAGAGCCGATCCTCCCTATACGCAAAGTACGCAAGCTGCGTAGGGCCCCCGAAACACCTGGGGGCCCCCTTGCTCTCAAAGATGATTTAATTTTAGTTTCATTTGGCCAGCAGTTATTAAAACATGAATGTTTATTTATTTTAATGCGGTGCGCTGTCTCCCTTTCTATGTAAAAATCAGTAAAATCATGTAACGTGTATGTCATACAGTCTCTTGCTAGAGACAAAAAAAAACAACTAGTTGCAAGCGTACCGAGCCGCAGAAGAGACTTGTGCTTTCCATGAGCGCGATTCGAGACGGAGTGAACACGGACAAAGGCATTTCATTCATTCAGAACATTCATAGTCTTGTTTTGGTTTTAGTGTTTATTTTATCGTATTTTATCTCATCTCATTGAAAATTGGTGGGGTCCAAACAACATTTGATTAATGGATTCCATTCAAAATATGTTCCTTCTTCTTCAACTATCACTATAAAAAAACATTCTGAGTTTGAGGAAATCCTATGGTTACTGCGTTAAATGGTTCAGTTCAATCACAATTTTAATTTTGACCAAGGTATTTACCATCATTTACCAAGGTAATTATTATTAACTAAAACTGTTAAAGCATGTTTTGCAAAAGAAAAGAAAAGAAAAAACATAAAAAAATAAAATAAAATAAATGCTACTTGGGCAACCAACTGAAATATGTTTAAGAACTACATTTATTAAATGTAGTTAAATAAAACTAAAACAAAACAAAAATATGTTAAACCTAAATGGTAAAAAATGTATAAAATATAATAAAATAAAGAAAATAAAAGCTAATATTAATAAAAACTATAATAGTATATAAATAATACTAAAATAACACGGTCATTTACTCAATTTCATATCATTCAGCAGAACACAAAATACAATGAACGTACTTAATGAAAGTACTGTAAATGTGGTTGCCAAGCTCCAAAAAGTACCACTAAATTAGTCAACACAACTTATTTCAGTTTCAACACAACAGCTATTTCAGGTCTTCTGAAACCATATGATAGCTTTATGTGACAAACAGACTGAAATTTGGGTTGTTATATGCTCCACTTCTCAGCCATAACATCGTCAACGAGATTTGAGAGCTATAAATGGGAGGTAAGAGTTCAAATTTCAGTCTGATCCTCACACAAATCTACCATAACCATCCTTCAATACATTCAGGTAAGTAAATGATGACAGAATTGTTAATTTATAGGTGAACTATCCCTTTAAGAGCTCTCAATGACATTCAATGTTAAACCAATAAACCTATGAATACGCCGGGTAACTAGTCCTGCACAGGCAGAGCACACCGGCTATGCTGCAGTAGTGATGGGAATTTCGGATCATTTTACCGACTCGGACATTTGAGTCTTGTTCATCAAAATGAACAAATCTTTTTTCGAGTCATTTCGTTCATTTTAGCAAAATATAATTAGCTCAGACTGCATTGGTTAAAGCTTATGGGGCTGTCACGTGATGTCACGACTCGGAAAAACCCGAAGACTCGAAACAGGTGAACTACTTGACTAATTCCAGTACGGGAAATATGTTAGATAACGAAAGGCTGTGAACCGCGTTTAATGTTGTAGTTAAATTGCAATTTCTGAGAGGTTGTAACATATGAGTAAAATATCTTTCTACTCCCTCATCTTTATTCTTAACCTCTCTTTAGGATCAAGCTAATTGTGAATTAACTCTGATATAAAGGGTGGGCAATGGCTTCGCCTCTTGTTCACCAGTGATGAAAGACCCAATTATGTAATTCAGTTTTTGAAGCAGAGTCGACGCCAGCGGGAGTGTAGATCATCATTCAACGAGAGACGACAGCAAAGCGGCAATTATTATTTTTAAAAGTATAAAAATCTTACTGACCACAAACCTCTGAACAATACTAACAAATACATTTATTTAGTCAAAATAGATTTTAATCTGACATTTTCTTTCTCATTGAACATCTTGCAGCACCGGGAAATATGTTAGATAACGAAAGGCTGTGAACCGCGTTTAATGTTGTAGTTAAATTGCAATTTCTGAGAGGTTGTAACATATGAGTAAAAGATCTTTCTACTCCCTCATCTTTATTCTTAACCTCTCTTTAGGATCAAGCTAATTGTGAATTAACTCTGATATAAAGGGTGGGCAATGGCTTCGCCTCTTGTTCACCAGTGATGAAAGACCCAATTATGTAATTCAGTTTTTGAAGCAGAGTCGACGCCAGCGGGAGTGTAGATCATCATTCAACGAGAGACGACAGCAAAGCGGCACATCAGCTTGAGTGTGAGGAGGCACACGGGACTGCACTGGAGAATCTCAGAGTTTGCCAATGAAAAC